TGGTGTGTGCGTTGAGTGTGAGTGACATGCTTGGACTCTTGTGTAAGACCATGGGACTTAGTGCTTAAACTCGATCATTGACTCAAATAAATACTATTGACAGCAAAAATTTAGCCGAATTAAATAGAAAACTGATTAATTAGACTCTAGGTGATGACTCGACCAATAATCCGAACTGTCGGCCAAGAGACAGGACTGGCGTCGCACTGTGAAGCTTGGCGCCAGACAACATGGTTGTCGTCAGGCGCTACACTCCATGATGTGGCGCTACAGCTTAGACCTTGGCGCCAATATTGGAGCTTCGGTCTGGGACTGTTTTCGGTGTTATTAGTCAATCGGGGTATGCCTAAAGTCGTACTAGGTCAATTCAGATTGAAATATTAGAATTTATTGACTCAAATTAATTAATTATTTAATTAAATAGGCAAAGTTCTTTAAGTCATTAATTTTTTAGTCTCAACACAAGTCAACAAACGGTTAAGAAAAACATAGAATATATATGCACAACAAATAATGCACACTTAGTCAAGTAGGAACAATATGATTCAATGCGTTTGCAACCTAACCATGGCTCTAGTTCTCTAAAGTTCGGGATATGGTTTAGTCAATAGAGGGTCCACGGTTAATTGTCCGGATAGATGCACCGCGCGGAAGCCTAACCGTGAAGGGTTGGCGCGAGTGGATGGGACACCGCGAGTTTAGAAAAAACTAGCTTCCATGGTTTGGTGAATTCAACATCTCGGATGTACCCTTTGTTGCACGGAGCGTTCAATCGGGTAGATGGAGCATGAATTCCCAGAGGGTTATGACCATATGTAGAACACATATGGGTTTTAGAAAAGTGAGAAAAAATTCTATCAGGAAGTAGGATCGAGCAAACAATACGAAAAACTGGTCGAAAATAGAACGCATATTTCTGGCTCGGTATTGGGGGAAATTGGCGCCAGCAAACAGAGACTGGCGCCAGCTTTTAACTGTAGCGCTTGGCGCCAATGCTGGCGTCTGGCGCTACGACTAAAATGCTGGCGCCTAGCTCAAGCCCCTGACGCTACTTCCCACATGCCTCAGCAGCTTTCTGTGCTCGATAAAATTTTCCACTTTCGCGCGGTGTTATTTCGGTCCTAGTTGTGAAAGATATTTCTCAAATTTCCTACGTGTAAAATCCTATGTTTTTAACTCATTACGGAGTGTCTTTCCAATGAGATTTTTTTTATGCATATGACAATAATTTTAATCAAAATTACGCACATGAAATACTTAGAACGTTTCGAGTCTCATCCACTCATTCCAAAAGGGAAGAAGATAGAGCAAAAGAGTCGCCAACAAGTTTTTTTTAGGAACTTGTAAACCATTCACAGGGTGAAGGTTACACCCCTTAGCGATCTAAGAGATCGTCAACTCCATAAGGTCGTGAACCAAATAAGGGTTCGAGGATGAAGTTACAGATCCAACCTAAAAGAGATTGAACCTGCCCTAATAATAGGCCTCTACTTTATTCTGATCGTATTCATGTGCGCTTTTCATTTAACATGCAATCAATAGGTTAACCCTAAATCTGTTTAATCTATGTTGGTTGAATATTAATGCACAAATAAACTATTATTGGCGATCACTTGAAATATAATCAAATTAACCCTAACAAGATTATTAAATATCTTATTAAGCGTGATTACAAGTACAAATTCCCTTTAAACATGCATAAAGGTGTGATCAAGCAATAACAATAAAATAATATTAAGCAACATAATAAAAATAATCAACATCATGATAAATAATGAATAATAATCGTCATGAATTATAACAATTATAATCATAATCATGTTCATGTTAATATTAAAGCATAATAATAATAAAAAGATCCTAGGCATGATACTAACAAGATTAATAACAAACCCTAGCATGTCACTAAGCAATAAAAATCAAGTCTTTAACCCTAACATGATACTAACAATCATTAGGAAGAACATAGGAAGCATTATAACAATCATATTTAATATTAAAATTACCCTAGACATGATACTAGGAATATCATAATAACAATGTAAACATGATTTCTACATCATAATATCAATTAAAACCATTAAAGTACTTACTTTGATGCTTCGTACCTCTTTCTAATAACAAAATACACACGTTAGTAACTTCAAGGAAAATAATAAACAAACAATTAAATTAAATAATTGAAAGAGAGTTTTGGGACCAAACCCTCAGAAATTAAACCTTTCACGTCTAGGGCGAAGGCAACTTCGAATATGGCTAGGTGTTTCTAAATCTTGCGAATGCGGAATTTTGTATGTGAAAACAAAGTTTAGAAAGAGAGAAAGAGAGAAATAATCAAGAAAACTTGATGAGAGTTGGTGATGAATGATGAATATTGATGAATGAAAATGGAGTTTTTAATACGATATTATAGAGAAAATCAGCCAAAAAGATAAATTAAACAAAACAGAGTCTGACGCACAAAAAACAGAGCTGGCGCCAACCCTGGCTAGCTGGCGCCAGGCACCAACACTAGCGCCAGGCGCCAATGGCTAGCGCCAAGCACCAGGCCTAGTTCCAGGCGCCAAGCCTAATTTTAACGCGTTTTCGAAAATCCGATAAGTTTGCCGTACTGGAGGATAAAATCATATAATTTCCTCGAAAATGCTATTTGATTTTGATTAAAACACTGAAAAGTCAACAAAAGTCAATTTATCAATGCTAATTGAATTAAGAATGAAAAGAACCTTCTAGAAAAATCTAGAAGACTAAAACCATTCCTAATTGCATTAGGAATGATAAATCATATTAGGCCCTCACCTAGATCATTGGGCCGTACATAAAGCTCAAACCGGGCCCAGTTTAGTAAATTGGCCATAACTTCCTCAATATTCATCGGAATTAGGCTCATAATATATCGTTGGAAAGGTCTTTGCAAGCCCCATCTTACTACACTACTATTGGACCCATATCATGGACCAACCAAACTGGATTGGCTGTTTTCTTAAAATAAGTTTTCAAAAACAGAGAGAAGAGAAAAGAAAATAAAAACTTTCCGCAACACTAGACTTTCCACACTTTCACTTCATTTGATTATGATTCGACGTGAAAGGTACTCATCACCGGGTTTGGTTTTGGGGAGACATATTTGGGTGTCTATAGCGACCCATCAAGAACGGTGAAAATCGGGAAGGATATTGATGCAGTTGTAGGGGTACACCTCATAGAACTATTGAGGAAGAACAAAGATATTTTCGCGTTTTCAACAGATGAGATGCCTGGAATTGACCCCGCAGTCATGGTCCATAGGCTGAACATGAGAGAGGATATTAAGCCAGCAAGGCAGAAGAGACAAAGCTTCTCCACGGAGAAAAACCAGGCCATCCAAGAGGAAGTAGAAAAACTTTTGGAAGAAGGATTCATTGAGCCTTGTGATTATCTAAAGTGGTTGGCCAACGTAATCATGGTCAAGAAGGCGAATGGTCAGTGGAGAATGTGTGTTGATTTCACAACCTCAACAAAGCCTGCCCAAAGGACTGTTATCTATGCCACCAATAGATCAGCTTGTAGATTCAACCAGTGGGCACACCCTGATGAGCTTCATGGAATCCTTCTCGGGATACCATCAAATCAGCCTACACAGCCTAGATATACAGAAAAACCGCATTCATCACTGAAGGGGGAGTGTACAATTACATAGCTATGCCCTTTGGGTTGAAGAATGCAGGAGCAACTTTTCAGAAGACAATGGATAGAGTGTTTATGCACTAGAAGGGTAGAAATATGGAAGTATATGTGGACAAATCAATTGTAAAGAGCGTCACGCATGCATGCATATCATTGATTTAGAAGAAACATTTTCCACTCTGAGCAAATACAACATCAAACTCAATCCGAAGAAATGTGTCTTCGGGGTGAGTTCAGGAAAGTTCTTAGGCTTCCTGATCAGTGAAAGAGTAATAGACGCAAACCCGGAGAAGGTGGAGGCAGACCTAAGCTTACCTAAGCCTAAGTGTATCAAAGACATCATGCGATTGACAGACAGAATGGCCGCACTGACCAGGTTCATCAGCAAGTCAGCAGACAAAGCCTTGACGTTCTACCAGCTGTTGAAAGGGAACAGAGAATTTAAGTGGGGAGCCGCAGAAAGAGAAGCTTTTGAGGATATTAAGGAGCATCTGACCAAGCTCCCAACAATGATCAGCCCGGAGCTGAGGGAAAAGTTATAGTTGTACATTTCCGCGTCAATTCAGACAATTGCAGCCGTCCTCTTGGTAGAAGGACAAAAACAACAAAGGCCAATATACTTTGTGAGCCACGTAATGACTGAGGTAGAACAAAGGTACCCATTGGTAGAGAAACTGGCCTTCGCAGTGGTAACAACAGCAAGGAAGTTAAAACCGTATTTTGATGCGCACATAGTACAAATCCTCACAAATCACCCACTAGAAAAAGCATTGCAAAAAATGGTCGCATCAGGAAGACTCTAGAAATTGGCCATCGAGCTTTCTGAGTATGAGTTGGAGGTTAAACCAGGGGCAGCCATCAAGGCACAAGCCTTAGCAGATTTCATCGTGGAAGCCTCTTTTGAGGAGAAGGAAGACGACGTTGGGATATGGAGGGTAGAAGTAGATGGATCCTCAGCCCAAACAGGCAGCGAGGCAGGAATCATAATAAAATCGCCAGAAGAAAATGTATTTGAGTACGCCATAAAGTTCAAATACAAAGCATCAAATAACGAGGCAGAGTACGAGGCAACGCTGGCAGGCCTGCGTATGAGTATCGCAGCCGGAGCTAGGAAAGTTCATCTGCAAACTGACTCCCAGCTTGTCGCCAGTCAGCTGAAGGGGGCGTATGAGATAAGGGAGCCCACCATGTTGAAATATGTAACTAAAATAAAGGAACTGGCAGCCCAGCTAGTTCACTTCTAGATAGACTTGGTCCCCGGAGCGAGAAACTCCAAGGTTGACGCCTTGTCAAAGTTAGCTAGTTCTACCCTACAGAGCCTCATGAGGACGGTGATGGTGGAAGTCCTAGAGGAAAGGAGTATCGCCGAAAAGGAGCAAGTGAACTACATTGGGCAGCAGCGAGCTTGGTTCATAGACATTCTGGCATACAAGGTTCATGGCTCGCTACCAGACGACGAAGTGCAAGATAAGAATGTAAAGAAAGACGCCAATTGGTACGTGGTAATGAATGAGGAGCTTAACTAGAAGGGCTTCTCGAAACCACTGCTGAGGTGTATCCTAGAGTGGGAGCAGGAAAACATTATGGAAGAATCCCACTCAGGAATATGTGCCAACCACATTGGTGGAAAAACATTGGGAGTAGAAGTTCTAAGAAGAGGCGCATACTAGCCAACTCTAGCTCAAGACGCGCTGACATATGTGAAAAAGTGCGACAAATGTCAAAAGTACGCAAGTCATAAACCAGCCAGCAAATGATCTGACTCGAATCCTCAGCCTGATTCCGTTCTCCCAGTGGGGAATGGACATATTGGGACCGTTCATCACTAGGCCATCGGGCAGAAAATACCTCATAGTGGCGGTAGACTATTTTACTAAGTGGATAGAAGCCAAACCGACCAAGTACATAAAGGCCACCCAAGTGAGGACGTTCATATGGAAAAACATCATCACAAGATTCGGGGTGCCACAGTGCACAGTCTTTGACCACGGATGTCAATTCGACTGTGACACAATCAAGGATTATCTGGAGGACATGGGCACCAAGTATGCGAGTGCCTCAGTTTACCACCCCAGAGCAATGGTCAGACCGAGAAGCAAACAAGATGATCCTAACAGCCCTGTAGAGAAAGCTGGAGGAGCACAAGGGCCAATGGGCTGACCTAGTCCTAGAGGTCCTATGGGAAAACAGAACCACTAAGAAAGAGTATACTGGTAAAAGCCCTTTCACACTGGTCTATGGAGCTGATGCAGTTGTCCCAATGGAAGTGCAGATTCCTAGCCTGAGGATACAGCTTTATGAAAAACAAAGAAACAAAAAGCGCATGCTAGAAGAGCTAGACATCCTGCCGGAAGTAAGGCTAAAAGCAACCCTAGAGTTGGCAGCCCAGATTTCCAAAGCTTTCAATAAGATGGTCAAGCACAAGGAGCTCCTGCCTGGAGACTTGGTCCTTAGAAGGAAAGCAGCACTAGGAAGAGGAAATCAGCATGGAAAGTTGTCAGCCAATTAGGAAGGTCCTTTTATCATTCATGAGCAAGTAGGACCAGGTGCATTCCTCCTCGCAGATCAAGAAGGTCAGGTCTTAAGAAATAGTTTTAATGCGGATGTGTTAAAGAAATATTTTGTTTAAAAGGCAAGAAGTTAAGTAGAAATGGAGACAGCTATTTTAATTTTGCAAGAACTCTGTTTAATTCATGTTATGTTAAGTAAGGCATCTGAGCCATTTTTAATTTAATGAAATACAAGCCTCTACGTGAGGAGTATATTGCGTAAACTTGTTTAGACATATCATGCTTTATCATCATATACTAACATACAGAAGTAAAAAAAAAAGAAAAAAAAGAAAGAAGTATATCCCCAAAACCAAACCAAGTGATGAGTACCTTTCACGTCGAATCATAATCGAATGAAGCGAAAGTGTGGAAAGTCTAGTGTTGCGGAAAGTTTTAATTTCTTTTATCTTCTCTCTGTTTTTGAAAACTTACTTTAAGAAAACAGTCAATCCAGTTTGGTTGGTCCATTATATGGTTCCAATAGTAGTGTAGTTGGATGGGGCTTGCAAAGAACTTTCCAACGATATATTATAGGTCCAATTCCGATGAATATTGAGGAAGTTATGGCCAAATTACTAAACTGGGCTCGGTTTGAGCTTTATATATGGCCCAATGATCTAGGGGAGGGCCTAATATGATTTATCATTCCTAATGCAATTAGGAATGGTTTTAGTCTTCTAGATTCTTCTAGAAGGTTCTTTTCATTCCTAATTCAATTAGCATTGATAAATTGACTTTTGTTGACTTTTCAGAGTTTTAATCGAAATCAAATAGCATTTTCGAGGAAATTATATGATTTTATCCTCCAGTACGGCAGACTTATCTGATTTTCGAAAACGCGTTAAAATTAGGACTGGCGCCTAACCCCAGGCCTTGGCGCCTGAAACTAGGCCTGGCGCTAGCCATTGGCGCCTGGCGCTAATGTTGGCGCCTGACGCCAGCTAGCCAGGGTTGGCGCCAGCTCTGTTTTTTATGCGTCAGACTCTGTTTTGTTTAATTTATCTTTTTGGCTGATTTTCTCTATAAATATCGTATAAAACTCAGTTTTCATTCACCTACAATCAGTTTTCATTGATCATCAATTCTCATCTACATTCATCTACAATCAGTTTTAATTAGCATTCATCAATTCTTTCTTTCTTTTTCTAACCTTTTCTTTTTTCATACAAAATTCCACATTCACAAGATCTAGAAACACCTGGCCATGTTCGAAGTTTCCTTTGCCCTAGACATGAAAGGTTTAATTTCTGAGGGTTTGGTCCCAAATCTCTATTTCAATTATTTAATTTAATTGTTTTGTTTATTATTTTCCTTGAAGTTACTAACGTGTGTATTTTGTTGTTAGAAAGAGGTACGAGGCATCAAAGTAAGTGCTTTAATGGTTTTTAATTGATATTATGATGTAGAAATCATGTTTAAATTGTTATTATGATATTCCTAGTATCATGTCTAGGGTAATTTTAATAATAATATGATTCCTGCGATGCTTCATATGTTCTTCCTAATATTTATGATTGTTAGTATCATGGTAGGGTTAAAGATTTGATTTTTATTGCTTAGTGACATGCTAGGGTTTGTTATTAATCTTGTTAGTATCATGCCTAGCATCTTGCTATTATTATTATGCTTTAATATTAACATGAACATGATTATGATTATAATTGTTATTATTTATGATGATTAATTTATTATGTTGCTTGATATTTATTGTTATTGCTTGATCACACCTTTTATGCATGTTTAAAGGGAATTGGTACTTGTAATCACGCTTAATAAGATAATTAATAATCTTGTTAGGGTTAATGTGGTTATAATTCAAATGATCGCCAATAATAGATTTATTTGTGCATTATATTAAACCAACATAGATAAACGGGTTTAGGGTTAATCCTATTGATTGCATGTTAATCAGAAAGCGCACATGAATACGATCAGAATAAAGTAGAGGCCTATTATTAGGGCAGGTTCAATCTCTTTTACGTTGGATTTGTACCTTCATCCCCGAACCTTTATTTGGTTCATGACCTTATGGAGTTGTCGATCTCTTGGATCGTTAAGGGGTGTAACCTTCACCTCGTGAATGGTTTACAAGTTCCTAAAACTTGTTGGCGACTCTTTTGCTCTATCTTCTTCCCTTTTGGACGCCACCGTACTTTAGTGTATGATCACAGTGGGGTTCAAGCTAGTGGGATTTAAAGGCTTCAAAATATTCCCTACAGTTTTTGGCGACTCCACTGGGGAGGATTTCTATTTTAATTCTTGAATTTGTTTCGGCAATGATTTAGAATGAGTGGATGAGACTCGAAAAGTTCTAAGTATTTCATGTGCGTAATTTTGATTAACATTATTGTCATATGCATAAAAAGTATCTCATTGGAAAGACCATCTGTAATGAGTTAAAAACATAGGATTTTACACGTAGGAAATTTGAGAAATATCTTTCACAACTAGGACCGAAATAACACCGCGCGAAACTGGAAAATTTTATCGAGCACAGAAAGCTGCTGAGGCATGTGCGAAGTAGCGTCAAGGGCCAGCGCTTGGCGCCAGCATTTTAGTCGTAGCGCCAGACGCCAGTATTGACGCTAGGCGCTACAGTTAAAAGCTGGCGCCAGTCTCTGATCGCTGGGGCCAATTTCCCCCAATACCGAGCCAGAAATATGTGTTCTAATTTCGACCGGTTTTTCGTATTGTTTGCTCGATCCTACTTTCTTATTGAATTTTTTTCTCACTTTTCTGAAACCCATATGTTTTCTCCATATGGACATAACCCTCTGGGAATTCATGCTCCATCTACCTGATTGAACGCTCCGTGCAACAAAGGGTACATCCGAGATGTTGAATTCACCAAACCATGGAAGCGAGTTTTTTCTAATTAAAGCTCGCGGTTTCCCATCCACTCGCGCCAACCCTTCACGGTTAGGCTTCCGCGCGGTACATCCGGACAATTAACCATGGACACTCTTTGACTAAACCATATCCCGAACTTTAGAGAACTAGAGCCATGGTTAGGTTGCAAACGCATTGCATCATATTGTGCCTACTTGACTAAGTGTGCATTATTTGTTGTGCATATATATTCTATGTTTTTCTTAACCTTTTGTTGACTTGTGTTGAGACTAAAAAATTAATGACTTAAAGAACTTTGCCTATTTAATTAAATAATTAATTAATTTGAGTCAATAAAGTCTAATATTTCAATCGGAATTGACCTAGTACGACTAATAACACCGAAAATAGTCTCAGACCGAAGCTCCAATATTAGCGCCAAGGTCTGAGCTATAGCGCCACATCATGGAGTGTAGCGCCTGACGACAACTATGTCGTCTGGCACCAAGCTTCACAGTGCGACGCCAGTCCTATCGCTTGGCCGACAGTTCGTATTATTGGTCGAGTCATCACCTAGAGTCTAATTAATCAGTTTTCTATTTAATTCGGCTAAAATTTTGCTGTCAATAGTATTTAATTGAGTCAATGATCGAGTTTAGGCACTAAGTCCCATGGTCTTACACAAGAGTCCAAGCATGTCACTCACACTCAACGCACACACCAATCCACATACTTTGACCATGTTTAAGAGAGTCTTGTGTGCGCGTTTTTCTGTCATTTTTTTTAGGGGGGTAAGTCGGATATTAATCCTCCAATAAAAAAAATAGGCACCTTTTTCCCTTTTCTTTCTTTTTTTTCCTCCTTAAAATAAACCATAAAGTAGTGTTGATTCGAGTCAAATAATTAAAACGCAAAATGGTTTAATTTACAGCGCGTGGTCAAGAAAGGAAGGACGGTTAATCAAAGAAAACCTCTTCGTACAAGTCCAACTTTTCGACAAACCCATAGCTCGCAAGAGAAAAGCTAAGACTATAATGGCAACACAAGAAGAAGTCAATGATCTTAAGAACCAACTGGCTACTGTGACTTAGACACTGAAGCTTCTCGCACTCAAGATTGATGATCTCGTGAAGCAACAACAGATGGACCTCATGCAAGAGAGTCTAAGCAAGTTGTCTAGAGATTACAAGTTTCAAGAGCTTACATCACAAGGGGTCTCGGTGGACAAAGAGCTTCTTCCGCAGAAGTTCAGCGCCAACAATATCCTAAAATTCAGAGCAATTGACAACCCTTACTTTCATTTAAGAGCATTTGAAACAATCATGAGTATCAAGGGTATCGATAAGAAGGTCTTCCCTTCTCTGTTCTCACTATCTCTCGAGACCGTTTGCCAACAATGGTTTTTTTCTCTCGAGAAAGAAAAGACCTCTACCTGGGAGTCCATAGCGAACGCTTTTGTTGATAGGTACAAGTGCAACAATCAAGTCGAGACTAACCATAGAGAACTTGAAATCCTCAAGCAGAAAGAGAATGAAGGCTTCACCTCTTTCTTTAACAAATGGAGAGAAACCTCAGCTAAGATGATTGAGGTGCCAAGTGAAAAAGAGTCTTCATACCTTCAAAGTCGTGTATGATATTGGAATCAATATCGAAAACGACTTGGCTAAGTTAAAAGCTGCCAACAATAACTCTAACAGTGGCTGGAAAGGAAAGAAGAACGACAATTTTTCCTCTTCCAAAACCGTCCACTCAAATAATGTTAGAACCTTTAATTTAGGAGAAGTCCTTGCCATGAACAACCAAGGGCAGAAGAAACCATTTAGGAGGAACTTCACTCCTATTGGCATGAGTTATGACATCGCATTTGATCGATTAAATGGAAAAGGTCTTATAACTCCTATTGGACCATTTGGGGACCCACCAGTTGAGAAGAGGTCGGTTAACTGGAACCCCAATGCACACTGCAAGTATCACCAAGGTAGGGGCCATCTCACTGAAAAACTGTTGGAAGCTTAAAGAAGCTATCCAAGACCTAGTAGACAATAACAAACTGTCGTTGCCCCCTGCCAGTAAGAAGCCAAGTATTGACAATGCACCTCTCGCTCATACCCTAGCTATCTCCGATGAG